CCACTTATGATTTTATATACCTCTATCATATCCCCCCCCTTAGTCTTCTCTTTTCCAAGCTGAAAAGTCCCACACTCTAATCCCTTTTCATAGGGATCTGTTCCAAACCCCTAATCCTTTTAGTTGCCCTTCTCTGAACCTTTTCTAATGCCAATATAACTTTTTTGAGATGAGGAGACCACATCTGTACGCAGTATTCAAGATGTGGGCATACCATGGATTTATATAAGGGCAATAAAATAGTCTACCTTATTCTCGATCCCTTTTTTAATGATTCCTAACATCATGTTTGCTTTTTTGACTGCCGCTGCACACTGCGTGGACGTCTTCAGAGAACTATCCATGATGATGCCAAGATCTCTTTCCTGATTAGTTATAGCTAAATTAGCTCCCATTATATTGTATATATAGCCGGGGTTATTTTTTCCCCATGTGCATTACTTTACACTTCTCCACATTACATTTCATTTGCCATTGTTGGCCAATCATTTAGTTTGAAGAGATCTTTTTGAAGTCCTTCAGTCTGCTTTGGTTTTAACTATCTTGAGCACTTTAGTATCATCTGCAAACTTTGCCACCTCACTGTTTACCCTTTTCTCCAGATCATTTATGAATAAGTTGAATAGGATTGGTCCTAGGACTGACCCTTGGGGAACACCACTAGTTACCCCTTTCCATTCTGAAAATTTACCATTTATTCCTACCCTTTGTTCCTGTCTTTTAACCAGTTCTCAATCCATGAAAGGATCTTCCCTCTTATCCCATGACAACTTAATTTATGCAAGAGCCTTTGATGAGGGACCTTATCAAAAGCTTTCTGAAAATTTAAGTACACTATACCTACTGGATACCCCTTGTCCACATTTGTTGACCGCTTCAAAGAACTCTAATAGATTAGTAAGACATGATTTCCCTTTACAGAAACCATGTTGACTTTTGCCCAACAAATTATGTTCTTCTATGTGTCTGACAATTTTATTCTTGACTAATGTTTCAACTAATTTGCCCAGTAATGACGTTAGACTTACTAGTCTATAATTGCCGGGATCACCTCTAGAGAAGAGTAACAAAAATGATTAAAGGTCTAGAAAACATGACTGCAGAGGGAAGACTGAAAGAAGTGGGCTTGTTTAGTTTAGAAAAGAAAAAACTGAGAAGGGACACAATAGCAGATCACAGCTGGAGGATTCTCTGCATCTTGGGGTCTTCAAACTATCTGAAGGCTTCAATATCTGAGATATAGGGGAGAGAATTATTCTAGGAGGGGGTTGGTGAGAGTCTCTGGCCTGCATTGTGCAGGGGCTCAGACTAGATGATCATCATGGTCCCTTCTGACCTTAAAGTCTATTAATCTATGAATCTATAGCAGTTTTCAAGTATCTAAAAGGATATTACAAGAAGGAGGGAGAAAAGTTGTTCTCCTTGGCCTCTGATAGAACAAAAAGCAATGGGCTTAAATTGCAGCAAGAGAGATTTAGGTTAGACGTCACATTAGAATATATTTCCTTACAGTCAGAATGCTTAAATACTTGAATGAATTGCCTAAGGAGATTGTGGAGTGTCCAACACTGGACACATTTAAGACAAGGTTGGACAGATAATTATCAGGGATGCTCTAGATCAGGGCTACTCAACTTTGGAAGCCCCAGGGGCTACAATGATCCTCTCAGAACATGCTGAGGGCTGCAACTTAAGTATGGTTGCATATGCATGCAAATATATATGCAAATAGCTTCTTTCACACTGATGGGCTTGAATACAAAGATTAAGGAAAGACTACACAACACACAGACCCCATTTAAGTCAGTTCTGCTGATATTAAAAACAGGTAAATATTGCGGACTTCCACCCATATGTTCACAGGATCCCACCTGCGGGCCCTGTGTAAACCCACACGGCACCACAGGCCACAAACAAACAGGCCACAGGTTGAGTAGCCCTGATCTAGATGGTGTTTGGTCCTGCTGAGAGCAGGGGACTGGACTTGATGACCTCTTGAGGTCCCCTCCAGTAATTTATACCTTACACAAAGAAAATAAGCAGCAATTACATGTCAGTTTGACTCCTACAACAGACAGGAAAGTTAAATTCACTTTAGAATTATCTGCATGAATACTAAGTTCAAAGCCTTATCTTGCTTCAGTAAGACATAAGCCATGCAGATATGGCTATCATTTATGGACCACGCCACGTTAAGAATGAAATAGAGCACTTTTCAAATCAAGCATACAACATCCACTTAAACACCAAAATGCAACCACTTCTGTTAGGAAGTGATAACCAGTACACTGTATACTGCACAACCAGGTGAAAATTTGATTCAGAGAAGTTGTAATGTAATATGGGAAAATCTGGACAGTTGAAAGCTACAAACAAGACTTCTCCTTGATGGAGGTGTAGTAATACGAAGGCCTAAAACAAAAGCTCATGTAACATAGGCCTGGTCTGAGACAAAGCTAAGCTGTGAGCAAGAGGCTGCCCCTGCTCACAAAACTTGGCATGAACAGGACAGAAGAGCAAAACACTAATTGGTAATAGGCCCAGGTGCAGAACAGTAATTGGTGCTAGGTACTGACTCTAAAATAGTAATTGGTACTGGGCATAACTTGAAAGCATATGTTAACACCAATTCATTAAAAAGACCTTGGAACTCACATTCCCCACAGACACAGACTCAGATTCAGGAAATGGTCTAAAATGACACCATGATGGATAGAGATGATCTAATCAGATAACGAGGTACAGGGTGACAGATGGTATCTAAGCAGTGTCAGAGGGTAGTAACCTGACAATGTAAGGAGAAATGTGTAACTTGTTCGTACCTGTATATATGAGTGGTGTCGGGGGTGGGGGAGGGGCAGTACAAGTTTCCCACTGGTTGAACTGAGTCCATTGTTACGAGTACATAAACGTACTGATTCGGTAGAGTCTACTGATCACTATTACTGCACTTTGTTAAACAATAAACCTGGCTGGGCATCTTTGATCCTTATCTGACTTGTGGTCTTCGGGGACAGAGTCTGCTGTAGTCAATGGGCCCACATCACTGAGCACACACAAAAGCAGCCTTCTGGTTATCATCACGGACAGAGCCCGAGACCTGTCCCTACACCACAGCAGTAAATCTTGACCCTACTTTATCAGTGACTTGACAACAGGAAATATGGCTCAATTTATATGGAAATTTTTTCCCTGATAATCATCAGTTACCTACATACAATCATTTTACTGTTAGTGTGTCTGCTTCATGCCATTTTAAAAGACACTGAGGCCACGTCTAAATTATGGGGACCAAACCAGCATAGCTACAGCACTGCAGTGATGCTGCAACAACCCAATAGCCATGGCTTGACAAGCAGCAGCGAGCCTTGCTCACCAGCCATGCGGTTTGGTACGCTGCGCATGCGCAGACCGCGCTGTGGCACCATGCCAGGCTAAAATCTACTCACCATTGGAGAGTAGATTGCCCTAATCGTTGAGCCCTGCTGATAACAGACACAACTGACACAGAAAGAAGAGATTTCTCTCTATGGTCTAAGGGCACCCCCTTCCTGAGTAGCAGGCAGGCCAGTGGTTTTCCAACTGCAGGTTACAACCCAGTATTGTGTTGTGGAACATCAGACATTGGGTCTCATTGCTGCAGGATGATCGGGTGACCAGTAGGGTTGATAAGGCAGACAATCTACCTGTCCTGGCACCACAGACTGGGCTGTCCCCTAGCAATGTCCAGCATTAGGTGGGGGCAGGGGAAGAGAGTGCACAGGTACTCCACATATTGTTCCTCCCCTGAGCACTAGCTCTGCATTCCCATTGGCTGGAAACCTGCTGCTGGCTGCTTCTAGGGCACAGCATGGTCTGCAGTGACAGTAGAGGAAAAAAGCCTGCTTTAGCACCCCTGCTACATCACTGACCAGGAGCCATTCAAGGTAAGCCCCTTCTGTCCCAGTCCTAACTCCTCCCTTAAAGCTTGAGCCCCTGCCATGCCAAACCTGTCGTCCTCAACCCCACTCCAGAGCCCCCACTGATCCCGGGCTACATGAGGATTTTCAATCTTTGAAAAGCACAAGAGCCCCTGCATTTCAAAGCCGTAACGCTGTGCTAGCCCTTATTGACTAATCACAATTTAACATCCCTACTACATGCTGGATAAAAGTGTCATAAGTTTTTACATCCTGTTGACTGTCAGTGAGAATATTCAGCTCCTAAATTAATCAGCTGCTTCTGAACATTCCACATTCTAAGCACAAATTGAAACATTACTGAAAAATGGCCAAGATTTGACCTCATGAATAGCTTTACTAAGCAATTTTCAGAAGTTATACCATTAACTCTTCATGCAGAGGTTCAAATGAGATTTCTTGAGTAATATGAACATTTTTAGTAATCAGGCAAGCATAATTACTACTTATATAATGTTACTTCTGTTAAAGCTAGTCTATACAGTGCCTTACAAATTTATATGATTCAGACTAAGTTTCTGGGCATTCTCTAGCTGCCTAGTGTATCTGATTAGCAGTTAGCTATTGCCTTGGTAAATTCTAAAATGTGCAATATGCACAAACTAAAAAATATTTTTCTTCTACTCTTTCACTTAAAGCAATCTTAGACATTGCTTAGACTATTAATACGTGGTGAAAACAAAATACAAAGTTTTAAGTTTGTGTCTGAATTTATATTAATTGCTAATGTTAAACGTTTATAAGCAGCTCTTTAAACTCCCAAAGTCATCCTCTCTATTTTAGGTATTCTAAAATTAACATTTTATTTTATTTTCAGCTCTTAAAAACAGTAAGAACAAACTCAACCTCACTTTTGCAAGCTTATGATCCATTTTCTAAAGAATAAAAGAATGGCTGTTTTATAATCAATGTTCTTTACTGTAATGTCATGTACTAAAAAATACTCATTGGATGGTATGACTGCAAACCTCCTATACCTCCTATGCCATTAAAGTGATCCAAAACACAAATGCTTACAAATAGAAATGCTACACCACATACCTGCTGAATTTATGCTTTGATTGTAGTTAAAAGAGTGGTCATTGGTTCTTCCAGAATTATCATCCTAGAAGAGCCAGCAAGACACATTAGACCTTATTATACATACTTCTGGACTAAGTGAAGAAAAAAAATACTTCAATTGCAAATTTATCAATTACAAGATTACACAATACACCAAGATGATAATAAATGCTCTAACAAAATCATGTTTCAAGCCTAAGAATATTTTCCATTTAATATGCCAAACATTAGCAGCTCTCAAAATCTTTACCTTCTACAGTTGTTAAATGATTAAACTGAGCAACATTTTTCACATACTGCCAGGACACAAACTAGAGATGTTAAGAAGCGGATAACTGACTAATCACGTAGTTGATACAATTTGTATTGACTATACGATTAATCGCTAAGGAGCTGCACTGCAGTTCAAATGTAGTAGAGTCAGGCACACAGGTAGCCCAGCTGCTATTACATTGAAATGCAGAGCCCTGGTGGGGGTAGGTCTGGGACTCTGATACAGAAGCAGCAATGGGTGGGGTGGACTGAAAGTCAAGTAGTGCCTACCCTTATCAGATAGTAGATTACTCAACTAGTGGCTTAAGGTACCTCTACATAGCAACATCATTTCGAAATAACTAGTGTTATTTCAAAATAACGGCCTGCATCAATACAGCAGGCAGTTATTTTGAAATATTGTCAAAATACAGCCAAGCTTGAGGACTTCACTGACTCCTGTAACCCTCATTGTACAAGAAATAAGCCAGAGAGCACTCTTCCCATTTTGAAATAGGCGCTGCATAGACGCTCCCAATTTCAAAATAAGAAGTTTCAAAACAAGCTACACAATTGATGTAGCTTAATTTGCATAGCGTATTTCAAGGTAAGCCCTGCTGTGTAGATGCACGATAACACCCCTAACAAAAACACCACCCATATTTTAGGGGCAGCCAAATGCATACTTTCTTTTGACCAGTCCCTTTAACACAGAAACACTGTCAATTCTCCAGAACAAGTACCACACTTTTTTTTTTAAATGGCCTTTTTTGGTGCTTTACTTTTCTTTAGATGAACTGGAAGCAAGTTCCTACTTTTACACATTAGAAAATTAGGAGTGTTACACCTGATCTTCCCTGGTTCTGCTGGAGAACATCACAGAAGTATGTTCATAGCGAGATTTTACAATTAAATCATAAAATGATGTTAATCATCATTTAACACACTTTAAATCAAAATTTCAGTTATACTGGTTTGCTTTCTGCAAGCATTTAAGTCACCAAAAATCCAATTCATTTTAACATTCATGTTTGATTTCCGTGGTTTCACCACGGACTGCACCTTCACTGGAAAAAAAAAAAAAAACCACTCTAATTTACCCATTTCTTATCAAGCACCAATGCAGTTCTATTAATGTTAGTCTATTATATTTGAAGGGTTGGAGAAGTTTATTTTGGTTTTAACGATGTGGATTGAGTTAAATCAAAGCAATCTAAATTACAGATTTTAGTGATGATTTGTATCAGCAAGCAGGAAACCTAGATTTAAAACCAATATTAATCTTGTTTCACCTTTGCATTTTTAGTTATTGTTCTAAAGAAAAACTCATTGGTCAATAACCATTTTAAATGTGTTCACTGGCAAATAAATATAGTCTTTATACAAAATTTGACATTTTTTGCTAAACAGAATATTAAACTATACAGATTTAATCCGTTATATAGTTTAGCATACAGAAATTAAGAATCTGAACAAATCTAACAGATTATAAAATTATAAAGTTCTGGTTTCATGTTTTTAATAATTTGTGCTAAATTCTGATGGAAACCGGCAAACAACATTTTGATGTTAGTATTAAATAAAATTACCTCAACTCAACTGAGTATCTAAGAAAAAAATTATTACATCAAGGCTATATTAGCTATAGTTAGTGAACTGAATTGTTTGTTCATCATGTCCTTCAAAACTTTAGAACTAGTAGATCTCATCCTCTGATGAGATGCTTGCTTTTAACCCATAGACTGAAAGAGGAAAAACAGGCTTTGTTCCCCCCTTCAATTCCCAATTTATCAGTGAACAAGTCATTGAACTGAAATAGTTGCATAAACTGAAATGAAGAAAATATTATCTAGCCTGCAGGAGAGACTACTGCTGTCAAAAGCTGGTTTAACACTTCACTTATAAGAAGGCTTGACCTTCTTTGAAACTTCAACAAATATTTCTGCTTAATATATTTTTAATATAAATCAAGGATGTTAAAATGCAGTCAATTGACTAGTCGATGGAATTTCCATCGACTAGTCAATAAGCACTTCTGCATTCCTCCATAGGAGTGCTATGGGCTCCCCTGCCCTTTTAATCACCCTGAGGCAGCAGTTTCAAAGGTCCAACGTCCACACAGCTGATCATCTGTGCGGCCGATGCCCCTTTGAAACTGCTATCTCCGCAAGATTCAGAGAGCAAACAGGGGAGCTGACCCCAGGTTCCGGGGAAGTGCTGCAGGAACCCCAGGGTCAGCCACAGGGAGCCCAGGATCAGCTGGGAATCCCCAGCTGCCCCGGGGCTCCAGGGCTGCCCCTTCAAATTCCCACAGAGGAGGTGTTTTAAAGGGGCAGCCCGCCACACAGCTGATCCTGGGATCAGCTGTGCTGCTGCTGCCTCAGGGTTTCAGAGTGGCAGTGCCTGCACAGGCACTGCCACTTTGAAGTATCCCTTTCCCTCCCCCGCTCATGAGGGTGAGAGTATCTGGATTCTTGGTTGGCCCCAGTGGCAGGGAAA